ATAATTGCATCATTAATCTCACCTACTGAAATTTTTACTCTGTAGTTCTGTTTAACAGAATGAAACATTAATGAATTTGAATAAAAATGACCTCAAATGTTTGTTTTCTACTGTGAAATATTTTCTTCACATTTCATTATGTTTTCATTATGTTTACGACAAACAAATACAACTTTTATGTGATATTGAATTAAATCGATAATAATAATAACAACTATGATAATAGAAATACATTGTAAAAAGTAGCTATTTTTCAATTCTCATATGCACGTGTAAAAAGCTCGTTTTATAAAAGCTCTGAAAAACGTTAAAATCAAATCAAATCGTAGCAAAAATTACCCAGGTTTATTTCTGTACAAAATTCAAAATTCAGTGAATAAAAACAAAACAATGTGAAAAAGTTTTATCCACAATACATCTTTTTGTGTTTTTTAAAATTTTTCTTACTTTTTACGGACATTGAGTAAACGTAAATCATATTTAAATAATATATATATATATAGAAAAGCAGAAATTATAATTTTATGATATAATTTTAGCTACAAAAATAAAGGCAACAATATTATAGTTGCCACGAAATGAAATTGGAATTAGTCAAAATATTTTGCATAGATATAAATTTGCACATGAATAATATTTTACATTAGTGCATACTATCATTCCGAAAGAATTTGAGTTTTGAAAATATAAATTTGAGGAAAAACCGATACCATTCCAAATACTGTGAGGAGTATGTGAAACAATTATTTTGCAAAATAATTTGTTACTTTATAATATATTGTTCAAAATTAAAATAGTTCATTGCTAAAATTCTGAATTTGATATTTTGAACGTTTACATTAACAATTCTCTATGATTTGAACTTATTGAACTTTTCTTATTGACTTCATAGAGTGTCTATCAATACGTCTCAATGTAACTTCTTCAAATATTCCACATTGTGCAATTGCAGTTTCTTTATTTAGAAATAAGCACAGTTTTCAATTGATCTTTTCAATCAAGTTTAAATTTTTATTAATCTACAATTCACAATGCCAAGGTCGATGTGCATTTGTAAATAAAGACGTTACACAATATTGCAAATATATATGTATCTTGCATGTAACAGTTGCAACAACATGTGGTTTATTGTATTTTTTTTTTTTTTCTATCGCGTAAATATTCGTTGTGATAAAATTGAATTTCTATTCGATACATTCATCTTGCACGAAATTCGGGAAAGTTATTATGAGGGAAAACTACTGACTTATCGAGTTAAGGCATTTTAAAAATCGTATGATTAAGTAGAGTAATGGTTAAATGGAAGTATGATAAATGTATGTTAAATGGTTTAACATTTATATTAATGTCTTATATGCAATATAAATTGACTTTTGAAAATTGAAACTTCAATGAAATAACATATAAAGGATACAAAAAATAACCTTTAAAAAATGATTTCTAAAATTTCAGGAAATGATTTATTATAAAGTATGAAGAAAATGAAATAAGAATTTAATTGAGAGGATATAAATCAGAGCCCTAATATTTTTCTCACAAAATTGAATGTACACAAAATTTGTAAAATTTTTGATAATTTGATGTGCATATATCGTCAAATGGCTCATTTTTTTAATTTTTTCTTCCATATCTCCGAAGTCGTTGCACCTTCCTTTCAAAAAATTTAAACAGTTCTTCATTTAGTCAATACAAATAAAATGCTTTTTGAATTATTCAAATCGGACGCTCCGTTCTCTTAAAAACTGAGTTACCGTTTTTGGCACTTTTTGCCCCATATCTTCGGAACGGCTAGACCTGCCTTTGCCAAAACATAATCAGCATGTCTTTTTATCAATGCGAATCGAATGTTTTTTGAATTATTCAAACCGCTTCATCCGTGTTCCCAAAATTGTCGACGAAAATTTGTATCCGAACACACACATACTCGCACACACACATACACACACATACATCCATTTTTTCTAAGGTATGCCAAAATGTTCAGAAGGTTTTAAAACGTAAAGATATATAAAAAAAATTATTTTCGATTTTTTTGCGATTACTATAACTTGCCCTACGGGAAGTTAATAATTTGTAGCTTTATAATATATTGCTCAAAATTAAAATAGTTCATTGCTAAAATTCTGAATTTGATATTTTGAACTTTTACATTAACAATTCTCTATGATGTGAACTTATTGAACTTTTCTTATTGACTTCATAGAGTTGTCTATCAATACGTCTCAATGTAACTTCTTCAAATATTCCACATTGTGCAATTGCAGATCTTTATTTAGAAATAAGCACAGTTTTCAATTGATCTTTTCAATCAAGTTTAAATTTTTATTAATCTACAATTCACAATGCCAAGGTCGATGTGCATTTGTAAATAAAGACATTACACAATATTGCAAATATATATGTATCTTGCATGTAACAGTTGCAACAACATGTGGTTTATTGTATTTTTTCTATTTTCTTATCGCAGTCAAGATATTCATTGTGATAAAATTGAATTTCTATTCGATACATCCATCTTGTACGAGATTCGGGAAAATTTTGGTAATATAATATTTTACTAAATACCGATTGATATTTTTTAACTTCCCGTAGGGCAAGTTATAGTAATCGCAAAAAAATCGAAAATGACTAGCTGTAAGTGGAATTCTGTCTTAAGGCAATTAAGGCATCGTGCCTTAAGGCAAATTGCAGGAACTTCCCGTACCAAAAATTATTAATTTTTTAAAAACGATTAACATTTTTGAAAAAAATAAGATTTTTGAGAAACTATATATATGGACAAAAAATTACTTTTTTTGAGAAAAAAAAATAAAAAAGAATAAAAATTTTAAATTTTTTTTTTGAAAAAAAAATTTTTTTTCTTCATTTTGACATATTGTGGAAGATCTGAACTTTTTTTTCAAAGCAATCGTACTGATTTAACTGCATAGGAACAAAATATAAAGCACGTAAGCGCCGCGTCGCTGTCTAACGCATAAGCATTGGTACGGAACCCATAGGAATGTTAACAAAATGTATGTGCGGATACAAATTTTCGTCGACGATTTCGGGAACACCGATCAACCGATTTGAATAATTCAAAAAACATTCGATTCGTATTGATAAGGAGACGTGCTGATTAGTTTTTGGCGAAGTCAGGTCTAGCCGTTCCGAAGATACGGGGCAAAAAGTGCCGAAAACGGTAACTCAGTTTTTAAGAGAACGGAGCGTCCGATTTTAATAATTCAAAAAATATTTTACTTGTATTGACAAGGTGAAGAACCGATCAAATTTTCATAAAGGCAGGTCTAGCGGTTTCGGAGATCTAATGAAAAAAGTAAAAAAAAATGCCATTTGGCGGTCAAAAATGATCATTAGACATATGCACATCAAATTATCAGATATTTTATAGAGATTTTAACAATGAGTATAATTTTGGTTTACATTCCTATGGGTTCCGTACCAATGTTTACGCGTTAGACGTCGACGCGGCGCTTACGCGGTTTGATATTTCGTCTTTATGCAGTTGAAGCAGTACGATTGCTTTGAAAAAAAGTTTAGATCTTTCAAAATATGTCAAAATAAAGAAAACATTTTTTTTCAAAAAAAAAAATTAAAAAAAAAAATAAAAAAAATTTTTTTTTCAAAAAAAAAGTAATTTTTTGTCTAATTGTTTGTCAAAAATCTTATTTTTTCGAAGTAAATTTTTTTCAAAAATGTTAATCGTTTTTAAAACAATAATAATTTTTGGTACGGGAAGTTCCAGCAATTTGCCTTAAGGCACGATGCCTTAATTGCCTTAAGACAGAATTCCACTTACAGCTAGTTATTTATTTATTCCGAGGAAAAACTACTGATTTATCGAGCTAAAATACATTTTAAAATTTGTATGATTAAGTAGAGTAATGGTCGGTTAAATGGAAAGTAAAAATCAACTTCATACTGCATTTACATTAATGTCTTATATGCTATATCAACCATGGCTTTTGAAAATTGAAACTTTAATGAAATAACATATAATGGAGACAAAAAGTAACCATATACGTAAACACGGGAAAACATTTTTAAAAATTTGGGAATTAATATATTATAAATTATAAAAAAAATAAAATAATAATTTATTTAATTAAATGTGGAGATAAACTTGGGCCCAAATATTTTTTCTCACAAAATTGAAAAAAATACGCTTAGCATTCGTATAATTTTCTTACATAAAAACGTATACACGATTTCATATCAAAATGTGCTTACGTATCTCAAGAATCTAAAATTTCCTAACAAATGTTATATGCTTTCACAAAGTAGATTTACTGCAACACGTTTTCATCACGAATTTCTTTCACTTTTTCATCGCAATACAAAACAGTTGTTAATTTCCCGTAGGGTAAGTTATTGTAATCGTCCAAAAATTGAAAATTTTTAGATATCTTTACGTGTGTGTTTGTATGTATGTATGTGTGGATACAATTTTTTGACGACGTTTTCGGGAGCACCGCTCAACTGATTTGAATGATTCAAAAAGCATTCTACAGCTTCCTAGAGGGATTAGTGCTGATTAGATTTTGCAAAATGTAGGTTCAGCCGTTCCAGGGATACGAAGCAAAGAGTGCAGGTAATGGATATTAAGTTTTTGAGAGAACAGAGCATCCGATTTGAACATTCAATTCGTAAAGATGAGAAGACGTGGTGATAGGTTTTTGACAAAGACAAGTCTAGCCATAAGGAGCAAAAAGTGTAGAAAGTGAATTTTTTGAGAGATCAAAGCATCCGACTTGAATAATTCAAAAAGCATTTAGATTGTGCAAAATTTTTTAATTATCCGATTTTTTCTTTTCTTTTCTTTCTTTATCTTTATTCTATCTATTTCTTTTTTTTAATTATCCGAAGATTTGTAGAATAATTCTGTTCTCTTTCATCTAAAGTGAAGCTTGAATTACTTAACCTCATTATTATCCGAGCTAACTATTATTAATCAAGAAAAATTCTTCTCATATTTACTAATATATTTTGTTCATTTCCAGATCTGTCGGAGCATCGCTTTGTGTTTGGGCTATATCAGGTATATTTTCGACATTAGGAGCATTATGTTACGCGGAACTAGGGACGTGCATCAGTCGATCTGGTGGAGATTATGCCTACATATACGCGGCGTTCGGTCCACTACCGGCATTTCTTAGGTTGTGGATTGCTTTACTTATTATCAGGCCAACAACGCAGGTAAGTTAATTCTCTTATTATTAAAATGTATGCATAACCACCTCAAAACATGAAATATCTAGTTACATAGGGCTATATTTTCGAAATCCGCCAAAGATTCTGTTACTAGAATGGTTTTATGAAATTTCTTAAAAATAAGATAGACTTAATTTTAGCCATGACTTATGTGTGTGAGTTGAAAGTTCACAAATATAATTGTACACCTATGTCATTAGATCAAATAGTATAAATATCCTTTTACGTAAAAAAAAACACGTGGTGATATTTTCAGTAAATGCTATTGTGAAATTATATTTTACCGGAGAACAATTATATACTGATTTAACGTATTTTGTTTAATTAAGGAGTTTTAATTTTCAGGCTATAGTGGCACTAACTTTTGCAGCTTATGCTGCGAAACCATTTTTCCAGGAGTGTCAGCCTCCTGAAAATGCGGTCCGACTTCTAGCTGCTAGTTGTTTATGTAAGTTGATATTTTTTTAAACAAATATTAATATGTGATAAAACACGCCTATTCATTTGCTCATTTTTTTGCTGATTATTGATGTTGATTTAAAACAAATTATTTAACTTTGAAATAAAAATTAAGTTAATTAATAACATTTAAAAGAAATTCAGATGCCATCACCTCATTTAAGAGTGTTTTTTACTTCGAAAGTTTATTGGGAGTTAACAGGTTGTGATATGTGAGCAAAGATCTTATTTTCGTTAATATTGTCATTATATTCAATTTACCATGACCAAAAAAGTTTTGTTATTAACGACCAAATGTGTTATTGGCATCGAATATAATTTAATTTAAGATTCAACAAATAACTGTCGAAATTGATCATTTACAAATACTAATATCTCAATATTCAATCTAAAGAGTTGATAAAGTTGTAAGATAGGTATCGTGAGGAAATTAATTGGAATTGAAATTCAAATAGTGACCGTTTTTATTGCTTTATACCAGGTTTGTTGACTGCAGTGAATTGCTTGAGTGTCCGTTGGACTATGAGAATACAAAACGTCTTTACGGCTGCTAAATTGTTTGCATTAGTTGTTGTCATAATAGCAGGAGTTTACCACATGGGAACAGGTGTGTAAAGTTATTGTATAAGAAGTGATTCATAAATAGTTCAATTTCACATATCAATTCGATAGAATAAGTATTAGTACCACATAAAACACGGGTAAAGGGAGATTTTGAATTAGAATTATCTTTAAGTGTGCCTATGACCAAATTTATGTGAATAAGAAAATTTGTAAGAAATAGAAAATTTTGACAAAATATTTTATAGAAACAATCTGAACTATTTATTATGATTTATTGAAATATGTGTACAGAAACTACGATAAAATAGAAAAACTCCAGTCGGTTTCGTTTATATAGATACTTGTATAATAAACTGGTGCCCGCTACCCTCGGAATATTATTTGCTTTTTATTTTCAGGACATTTATCTAATTTTTCGAATGCTTTTGACGGAGATTACGATTTGTACAGTATCGCCTTGTCTTTCTATTCTGGGCTCTTTGCGTTTGGTGGATGGAATTACTTGAATTTTGTTACAGAAGAACTACAAGATCCGTACAAGTAAGTCTAATTGCTTGAATCTTATATTGCTTCAGTTTGAGATCGGTTCGATTTTTTAGATAATATAAAGAATAATAATTGATATATATATATATATATATATACATACATATATATATATATATATATATATATATATTGTATATATATACTAAAAATTAATTTATGTACTCGTAATGTAATGAAACTTTCCCACTTTATTCTACCAGTTAATAGGTTTACCGTTACGATGAATTATATTGGTCCAATTTTAAAATTTCGAATGCCGTTTCTTCTGGTTTGAACATAAAATAAAATATTTAATAAATGTTTCCATTTTTCACGACATTTAAGTATAAAGTGGCTTTGAGGAAATTATAAAGCACCATTATAATACATTCCAATGATATCTTCTAGTTTCTAGAGAAGCAATCTAATGTCCTGTGATAATAAAAATCATCTTTGTTTCTTTTTCTTCAAAGCTCGCGGCGATTGGCAAAATTAAATACTTGCACGTACTCTATCATGTGCTGAGTCTGTAGAACGAGATCAAAACTTATATATCAGCGCTTTTGATATAGTGACGGTAAACTTCTCATTCATAATTAATTTCGACCCATTCAAAAGTCTTTCACGGGTTATTATCGCAACTCATGACTAATCAATCTGGTTGCTGTCTCTGACATTCTACTTATAGCAACAAAAGTACCTCGTTTGCAACTAAATTAAATTGTATCAGTGAATACCGGCATAATTTAATAATGTCAGGGCGTTTCCTGGAACGTTTGAATTTAAATCACGTTGAGATTATTGGGATATGGACGTATGATTTAATTTTGATATTTGGGATATGGGATATAACCAAAAGATTTTAAATATTACTTCAGAATATCTAAAATAATATTTTTTCAGTAATTTATTTTCCATTTGATATTACACACACACACACACACATATATATATATATATATATATATATATATATATTGAATAAAATGAATATTAAAATCTAAAGATACAACAGTTTTTGAGAGGGTACTGGGTACCATATAAACCAATGGCAAAGCTGTATTTCTTTTCGCAGAGATTGCCGGATCAGCTAGTACATATATATATATACTATATAATATATAGTACATATATATAATATATAGTAATATATATAGTAAATATATAGTACATATATATACTATATAATATATAGTATATATATATATATATATATATATATATGTTCTAGCTGATCCGGCAATCTCTGCGAAAAGAAATACAGCTTTGCCATTGGTTTATATGGTACCCAGTACCCTCTCAAAAACTGTTGTATCTTTAGATTTTAATATTCATTTTATTCAATTTGATATATTATATAGTATATATATATGTACTAGCTGATCCGGCAATCTCTGCGAAAAGAAATACAGCTTTGCCATTGGTTTATATGGTACCCAGTACCCTCTCAAAAACTGTTGTATCTTTAGATTTTAATATTCATTTTATTCAATTCCCAATTTAGAAAAATTAAAATAAATAATATTGATTCGAGAAACTAAATAATAGTGTTAGGTGTAGGCAACCCTTAATTAAAAATATATATTTTCTAATTTAAATTTAGGGTTTTGCGTAACTTTGAGAAAATTTTAATCAAAATTCAGTGAAAAGCATTCATTGGCCGTTAATTTGATTCATTATAAAAATCTGAAATAAAGTTAAATCCAAAAATTAAAAAAGAGTTAGTGGTGGACAACCTTTAATTATTTTTTTTTAAATAAATTTAATCTTTTGCGAATGTTTGATAACATTCTAATCAAAATTCAGTGAAAAATATTCATTGAAGGAAAGTTAGATGAAAAATTATTCGATTATTAAAATTACTAATACGAAATAGTAGTTTGTGGTAGGAGGGTGAAGTGTTAGTGCTTTGTGTTTTTTTTATTATAAATTATAAAAAAAGTGAAAAATAAACAAATAAATTAAGGCTGGCCAACCCTTACACTTAGGGATATAAAAATAGATATGTTGGCCATAGTAATAGATTCTCAGTTATCCCGAACGTGATTATGAAATTTCATAAAAATCGGTCAAACCGTTTTAGAGTATTGTGACCAGACGAACAACATTACACGAGAATTATTATAATTATAGTTTTGACACTAAGTGCGCGTCATTATTCAGATAAAATAAAATAATAAAAAGCAAATACGTTGAGTTAAAAAAACAAATAATTATTTATTATTTTTAATTTTGCATATTTGTTAAGTTACGCACTTATGAATATATATATAGGTTCTCCAATATTTGTAAAAGGAATTTAAAATTACGTTTTAAGCAAAGCATTTCCATTTCATTATTAATTTTGATATTGTTTGAAATGATTCAAGAAGTTCTTCTTCATAATCGACTATCTTGATAAAACAACGGTAAGACATAAAAGTACCTTGGAATTACAAAAGTGTTTCTTTATTGAAATGAACAAAACTTTCATGATGTTTCCGTACGCATAAATGAATCCTGATACACGACAGAAGTTATTTCGCTTTCATCTGCAATTCGTTGACCCAGATATTAATCACTCGACTTTGCAGAGAGCGAACAGTGAAAAGCTTTTCTGTTGATTCAACAAGTGGGTGTATCGAAAGCTAAGAAAAGCCGCTGTTCGAAAGCAAACGCACGATTTACGCCAATTTCAATTACGACTTCGGGGTTTTATATAATTACTACGAATTTTTATTTTCAAATCGCACATATTCATTTAATTACTTTGGTAATATTAATGACATTTGTTATGTATATTGATATGATTGCGTATAAGTATATAGGCAAATATATAATAAACGTATAAGTGGATTGCTCTGTTCTTCCAAAACTTTCAATTATTGATACCAAACATTTTTTAACTAAAAATCAAACTGTATTATTCACAAAAAATAATTGATACTATTCGTACTACAGACTTTTCCTGTTACGACAACATTGAAAGATTAAGCCTCGTCTTTCGATGTACTCAGCTACTCACACAACATTATTATGTATTATAATTTTTAGTGAATGTACAATTTTATTTTTAGTGAGTGGTTATTTAAAAAATATTTAGCTTCAATAATTCAAAATTCCCGAAGAAGAAGACAACCCACATCCCCGAAACGTAAAAAAAATGAAAAATTGGACAAAAGGTTTAGAAAGTGCATAAAGGAACTGATAAAATACCTTTCAATATAATTAATAAAAGATAGGTTGGTTATTTGCAATATATATTTGTTTAAAGCGAATCGTCTGCATATATAATCGATATATATTTTCAGCGTACGATTTTTAACTTCCCGTAGGGCAAGTTATAGTAATCGCAAAAATTCGAAAATGAAAATTTTTATATATCTGTACGTTTCAAAACCTTCTGAACATTTTGGCATACCTTAGAAAAAATGGATGTATGTGTGTGTGTGTATGTGTATGTGTGCGTGTTCGGATACAAATTTTCGTCGACTATTTCGGGAACACGGATCAACCGATTTGAATAATTCAAAAACATTCGATTCGTATTGATAAGGAGATGTGATGATTAGTTTTTGGCGAAGGAAGGTCTAGCCGTTCCGAAGATACGGGGCAAAAAGTGCCGAAAACGGTAATTCAGTTTTTAAGAGAACGTTTTTAAGAGAGAGCGTCCGATTTGAAGAATTGATCAAATTTTTATGAGGGCAAATTTAGCGGTTTCGGAGATCTAACGAAAAAAGTAAAAAAAATGCCATTTGGCGGTCAAAAATCATTAGACATATGCACATCAAATTATCAGATATTTTATAGAGATTTCAACAATAAGTATAAATTTTGTTTACATTCCTATGTGTTCCGTACCAATGTTTATCCGTTAGACAGCGACGCGGCGCTTACGCGCTTTATATTTTGTCTCTATGCAGTTAAAGCAGTACGATTGCTTTGAAAAAAAGTTCAGATCTTCCAAAATATGTCAAAATAAAGAAAACATTTTTTTTTTTAAAAAAAATTCAAAAAAAAGTAATTTTTTGTCCAATTTATAGTTTCTCTAAAATCTAATTTTTTCGAAGTAAATTTTTTTCAAAAATGTTATTCGTTTTTAAAAAAATAATAATTTTTGATACGGAAAGTACCAGCAATATGCCTTAAGGCACGATGCCATGCGCCCTTCTAGTTAAATCTTATGCTATTCGGGTTAGGGGTATTATAGGTTTGCAATATTTTACTACTTTATCATTTCAAAATATTGAACGCTTACAAAAATGAGATTTTAAAAAATAATAATATAAATTCATATCCACGATTAGATGCAAAAGACAGCAGTAAAATTTCAATTAAACTCACATTTATAAATAAAGGCTTATTTTTTATACCGAAATTGTGAATTAGCAGCATAATTGTTTTAGATAATACCGTAAATATGAATTGATAAAAGTATTAAATCTATTGAAGGTAGATTAGAATGGTATTCTAGAATGTGATTACAAAAGCTATTATATAGGTATTTAAAAAACTATTTAATTACCTTATTATAGGAATTTGCCTCGTGCAATTTGGATCGCAATGCCGCTAGTGACGGGCATATATGTCCTTGCAAATCTTGCCTACTTTGCGGTGGTTAGTCCTGAAGAAATGGCCGTTACGCCAGCAGTGGGAGTTGTGAGTATTGATCTGTAGAGAATTTCAAAGAACCACTATTAATCAATCACCTATGTTAACAAATTAATATGATGTAAATTATTACATTTCAAAATGCGTAACAAAAAATAATTTCCATTGGAAATTGGACTTGGTCGAAATTTTGGAAAGTTTCCCAAATTTCGACTAATACGGGCAGAAAAAATAAGTACGATTTAGAGCAATAATGTTAAATTATCAGAATCAGAGAATTGACATTTTGTAAAAGCTTTTAATTATTTTAAAGGTTATCTATATTCTATTATAGTTTTAAATAGTAATTCGCAAATGTAAACTTGCAATAAATATGCATAAAAAACGGTTTTTATTCAATAAAAAAAAAACGAATGTAATTTCTTTCTGATCAAAGCAAATGTACAATTTGTCCTATAGCACCTATAATAAGCAGTCAGGAAATTTCGTTGCACTGTTAATAGTGCATTTTTAAAGTTAGAGTAGTTTATAAACTCTACTCTAATTTAATAAAGTTATATTTATATAGAACAACATTTGGTAAATCCGTAACAAAAGCCAATTAATTAAAATTTTTAATGTCGATAATTATTTTAAATCCTAATTATGGTTATTATACTTTTTCATTATAAATTAATTTAAACTTAAGTGAATATGATAATTATTTTGAGTAAAAATATCGGTAACTAAAAATCTGAATTCAGATTAATGAAGTTAAGTTCATTGAACTATCACCATGAAACGCATAATAGTCTCACAGCCTGAATTCTTACATATTATTAAAACATTTGATAGTGTGCCAATATGAACAATCTCATATATGTATTCAGAGCTTATCACCAATAGGTAAATTGTTGATCAACAATGCAGAATACATTTCAGACAATATATATCCTTTATGTTGCATAGAATAACAGATGAGATAAATGTGTGAAATTTGTTTGACGCATTTCAATGCAATTCTAATGTCCCTCTTAAAAAATTTAAAGATAAGTAAAAAAATATTGAATTAAATGCATTCATTTTCAGGCTTTCGGCAACAGGATGTTTGGCCCTATGGCTTGGTGCGTACCTGTTTTTGTTGCTTTGAGCACATTTGGTGGAGTAAATGGAATACTTTTCACTTCTGCGCGATTATTTGTAACAGGATCGCAAGAAGGACATTTGCCTGTAGCACTATCTTTGATTCACGTGCAGAAACGAACGCCGATTGTGTCACTACTTGTTACGGTAAAATAGTTTGTTATGATAATATATATAGGTAGAAGTCCTTAGGTCCGGCCCCCAACAGTTCGGAATGCCCGATAGCACGGCATATTTTTTAAAATATTGTTTTTTTTTTTCAAAAACGTGCCTTTACAGCAAAAAAAAACACTAGAGCGCTATCAGAACGTTTTCGGGGTGGCCCGAAATCATTCGGAAGGATTCGCTATCGTTCGGTAACTGTTGTGTTCATGGTAAATTCCGTTATGTCTAGGTTCATGAACGAAGTATGTTCTACGATATCAGTAGATTTTACCCCCTAACTGAGCAGTGACCATGTTTTTAAAACTTAAGCCTTGGCATTCAAATGGAAAGCAACGAATACACGTAACACTAACTTTCAATCAGAAACTAGAAATTATCAAACGGCTAAAAATCTTCAAATTTTTGTTTTTTGTAAAAATTAATAATGTTAGTTGTTAAAAAAATTAAAAATAGTTTAAATATATATTCCGATTGTTTTTCGTACTGATTTTTATTTAATTAATTGCTTTCATAATTATCGCACGACAGTCCGGAATTTTGGATAGACCTTCACAGGGGTCGATCCCGAGCAAACCGGACTAAAGGATTTCTACTGATATAATCTTTTTTTATATCTGATCCTTTGATATTTTTTTCCAAAGTGGACCAATGCTATTTATAATCGCTATGCTTGAAGATTATGGGTTTTTCAAACTAAACGATAACATAATGCATTTTCCTTATTATGTTTATTTTACAATGCATATAATGCTATTTGTAGATATATATATATATATATATATATATATATATATATATATACACCTAAGTCTGTTTTTACACGGAGATTGGTTCCAGAAGAAGCCGTGTAAAAAAAAAAAACGTGTAAAAAAAGACATTGATCTTATACAAAAATGGGTGATTTGTTCCTAATCTGTAAAACCTATTAAAATTGGTGAAAAACAAGAATTTTTAAGAACAAGAATTAAATTAGTGCTATTCACATTTGCTTTGACCAGTAAAAATTGTTTGTACGCGCTAAAGGGGAATTCACTTAAATCTTTAAGCTAGTGTTTGCAAACTATCGATACTATCGATGGTTTCAGACTTTTTTCTTTCATAAATACTTTTTTGTGATATGAGCATACTTCGCAAAAATTTAATTTGACAAAAAAAATTTAGGTACATAAAATTTCAAATCGTGGTAAATGGAATAAATTCGTGTAAAAAAATTAAAAATTTTCAATTTTTAAACCGTGTTATATCAAAACCGTGTACAAAAAGACCGTGTAAAAACAGACTTAGGTGTATATATATATATATATATATATATATATATATAAACTATAAGACTACCTCTGAATCTTCTACTAATGTTCATAATATACATGCTTTCAGTGCGCCATGTCATTAGTAATGCTGTTAACATCGGACATCTTTCTCTTGATCAACTATTGCAGTCAAATACTATGGTTGTCAGTAGCAGCTAGCATAGCTGGTTTATTGTATTTGAGACATTCCAGGCCTGATATGCAACGACCCATACGAGTCAACTTAGCGTTGCCCATATTGTTTTTGATGTGTTGTGTATTTCTGGTCATCGTTCCAGCAATTGCTGAACCAGTAAATACACTCATTGGACTTGGAATAACTCTTTCTGGCATACCTGTATATTATCTATGCATTAAATGGAAGAACAAGCCTGATTGTTACAATAAAAGCTCTGAAAATGTTATTATGTTCTTACAAATGCTGTTCAATTCTGCTCTGGCTGAGACGGAAGAAAAATTATCTACTTAAATTTCAATATTAAAAATAGCGTTCGTACAATCGAGTGGTAAATTTAGTCTAATGTTAATCAATATTTTTGACTTTCAGCCATTAATTTTCTATAACTACATATAATAGTTATATATAGTTATAAGTTCATGTTAATGCCATACAATCATTAGATATCTAATCATATACATATATGAATATATGATATGAGTTAATCAAATTAATCGATATTTGTTTCTCACCTAGTATTTACGTGAAATATCTGTTTCGATATGAGTCACCATATGGATATGATTATATTAATGTTGTCTTGCTATAGACTGCAAATAGTTTGAAATTTGCTTGTGAGACTTCTTTAGGTGCTATTGAGCATAACACGCTTGTCCATATTAATCTACACTAGGCTACTAGTTTATAGGTCGCAAACTAATTTAAACTTTGGTGAGACATAACAAATTACTCCTTTGCTTTATCATTTTAAACTTAAATATGAGATTATTTTTAATGAAACCATTAATTTGAGAGATAAGCGAAACACTTGTATCAAGTTAAAAAAATAGAAACACAAGCAAATTTATCACCAAAATATCTTCAATCTGCATTAATCTTTAATTTTACCACTCATATCATTATGATAAATCGTTACTTTTCAAAAATATATATTTTTTTGTAATGACCAAACACAAATTCTGTGTATACTTAACAGTGATAAATGTATTTTTAGTGACAAATATGCTGTCTCGACTCTACTTCTTATTGACTATAATATAATATATAAATTTGGACTGAATTCACATGATTAAATGTTATTTTGAAAAGACTGAATCTATTCTATGTTGTGTCAGGCCATTTAAGGCTCAATAGCAATAGACTTTCACATGCTATTTCTATAATGAGTACTTTTCAAGTAAATTTTTTGAATAACGGTAGTAACATATATTCTCATTTGATCTGTCATTCCTTTTCCCTAAGATTACAGTATTAATCATATATTTTTTAAGATATCGATATACAAATGAAATTATCACAGATGATAATCACAACAATTTTAGTGTATATGGTTAAAGGCTTTATTTGAATTATTAAAACTTCACATTGTTATAAATAATATAAATAAGTGTAGTATTACTGTAAAAAGAATAAAAAAATAAAAATTTTGTTTTCATTACAATTGTTATTAATTTAATTTAAGAGAAAATTTCAGATGACACTTCAGATTATATCTATATGATATAACTGGTTACTAATTAATTTTTATTTTCCGATATGAGGGCTTAATTAATTTTTTAAGCAATGTACGATTTCACTTTATTTTTATGTTCATCATAAATTGCGCTATCATCATAACAAAGTGTATAAAAAAAGTAAAAAATATAAAAGTAAATGTAATTGTGAATATATTTTAATGTCTAATCCTATATGTTTATTAAGAGCCAATTAAATTGCTATTGCACAATCAAATAACCATAATTTCTATAAAATAACTATTTGCATCCACTTAACATTGCTTTTTAACTAAAATTGTGTACTCATATCAGAATATGTGATAAATAGTACAAATCGTACTGAAAAATAAAGATATCCAAACATCTTTAATTTACAAATAAGTAAATTAAAGATGTTTGGAAAGTCTTTATTTTTCGGTACGATTTAAACCTGGTTTTGTAATTTAATAATATAAATGGCAACAAAGTTAGGGTGAAATAACCTTATTTCACTCTCAACAAAAACGATAATATAACATCACAATGACAATTATGTTCATATATCCAAATATTTAATCTGATTTCAAAGTGAGATACTTTAATTGGTTAAATTATTTTTAGATATTTTCTAACACTTCCAATAAAATCATGAAAATGTAATTAGTCGATTCTAGATTGATGTAATATTCTATGCTTAATTTTACTATTTAACAAATCATTATCAGTTACTTTAATATGTAAAGGTGGTAATAATGCCCCAGCAACGCTGCGACTTTCTGCATTAAGAAAGTTAAATGTAGTGCATGCAACATCAGTAGGTAAAACTTCAACATTAATTCTTTTTGGTCTTAAAATTTCTATAATCCTCTGCCTTAACTTGGGATTAACAGTTTCTTGTTCTATACCAATAACAAGAACATCCAATTTTGGATCTAAGGTATAAAATAAAGATAATGAAGCCTCATTTATATCTTCACTATTTCCTACATTCCAAGATAGAACGGTCCTGAAAATATAAAATTGGTTGTAGTATAATGTGTACAATTTAATTATTAAAGAACTGTGAAAGGGCTCATTGGATAGAATATGAGCTTAAGAATAACTATTTAATGTAAAATCAATAAACAATATACGATTATAACATTAATGAACTAATTATTAGGAATATAAAGTTAATAAAAACATTAAATTTGAATAATATTACTATTTGCACAAAAATAATTCAAAGGTCTAATGATGACTTATTTTATATTCATCATATTGAGCTATTGAAATAAAAGAAATCAGATTCTCTACAATGTCATCATAAAAAAATACCTGGGAAATATAGCCACAGGACCCATTACCGAAACACCATTGTTCAGGGAAAAACCAACCTGAAATTAAGAAAAAAAAAGACAATTTAATTAGTATATGTTGTTCAATATGCTCAGTAAAAGAATTATAAAATTCATCACTATAGAAGAGTTTACTTTAAAAATAAATATGTATCATATTTTAAAAGTATAATGTGTTTTCTTATATTTATGTCTAGCATATATAAGTTGTTTTATAGAATATAATGTATTCATTCTGTAGCTTATTCTTGTTTATTCTCTTAACCAATTACAATTAAGAATTCTTAACAGTTATAAAAAATGTTTGAATAATTAATTAAATAATGTCTTGTGATACAGCCTGATCCTTCGGGCAATAGTACCGTCAGAATGGTATTTAGTGAAAAATATAATAGCAGAAAAAGAAGTAAATGTATCTTTACTACGCTAATATTTGCTTTGTGTAATAATCTCTAGTAATCTAGAAAATATGTATGATTGGAATAAATCAATAATTGATTAAAACTAGGACCAATTTAATGCAATTAATAGAAAAAGCATTGAATAGAAAGTGGATCCTACAGACCTCATGGTTAACCATGAAAAACATGGATAATTAAATAAAAACTTAAAAACTAAAATATATAAAGTGCATATAAGTAGAAAATAAAATCCAAAAGTATTTTCTATATTGTGTTAAAAATGTATTACCATTTTGTATGTATATAATACAAGTACCATCATATTAAGAAGATACTTCTATTATTAATTTCTACATTAAGATACTTCCTAATGTGGAAATAGAAGAAGTTATACTTTTTGATGTGGAAATGAAAATAGTAGAGGTAGGAATTGATTTTTAGTCAACTCGTATTATTTCTTTGGCCTGTTAACTTTATAAACATTGCTTTAGGCTCCATTCACAGTTGACGAAAACTTTTTTTACAATTTTTGAGAGGAAAGGTATCTATATCTGTAACATTTACAATGACATAGGTTATAGTAACTGAAGTAAGTTGATATTTATCATTTCCAAGCCAAATTTGTCTTTAGGGTTAATAATGTTTCAGTTCTAGGTACTGAGAAATCAACATTAAAATCTCGAGTGTATTAACAAAAGATTTCCAACCGAGCATTCTGAATTTCGTTATGTTTAACAGAATTTCACAAATAAATCAAAACTTTTTAGGTAGTTAGTTATCTGATAGTTATTAAATAAATTAATGACAATTGAATCTAATAATTCCCCTTATTCTGATTACACACTTCACTTGACTTCTTACAAAATTGATTAACCAGCACCTATTCTCCTCTGGCAGATCAAATTAAATCTTTTTAAACAACAGAATTATGTCAATTAATAACAGTTCTTTTGGTAATTCAATCGATAAACAAAATCATTACTACTTCTTCTCTGGTGCAATATCACTATATGATACCAAGACATTTAACACTACTTTTTTCAATTTGAATTAAAAGTATAATATCAAAAGGACTAAATTATTATTATTACCTTCAATAATCACATAAAACGTATTGTCATTTTCAAATATAAAGACAAATGAGTCAATCGAACACAGCATATTCCACTTATCACATAATTGTTGAAGTTAATACAAAAATTAATTAAACGATACTCACTTGACTATATGAATTAATCATCAGGCCCATTTCGGCATCTTGATTTAATAAACGCAAAACAGTTTTACCTTCGCCATCGTATGCACCTCTTCGCATCGTATAACTTCGTTTTGTTTGTTGAAAACTAGAAATATAAATTTTAATCTTTAGTGAAATGTCAATCAAAATTAATAATAGGTTGTGAAATATCTCCCTTCCGCCTTTTTGTATTATAAACCAAGAGCAAAAAAGCGGAAGGGAGATATTTGACAACCTAATACAATTATAGTATAATTTACCTTGCATTTTTTATTAACTTATTTGTATTAAAATAAATATATTTAAACCTATTAAACATTTTGCAAAATGTATTTGTAATTGTTGATATTAAAATACTCTCATTATTTCATGCAAATCGTAAAATTAGGTAACGACGAACGTTCAGGTGACATTAAGAGGTTATGTACAACAGCCATTGTTCAATACACTTTGACAGATGGAAAACATGTGAACAAATTTTCTAGAATTTTGAAATTCTTTAAAGGCTCCATGTAGATTTAAAACCATTTAAAACCTAGATAACATTAGAATATGATATATTCAATATGATGATTTAAACGGTATATTAAGCAATGCATCGAATTGTATAATTATTTATTGCAACATCAATATTCATAATTTTTTAAAGTAATTGTTATTTGCATAGTTTTCGCATCGAATTATATGTCTTCATGAATACATCGTATTCTAATATTGTCTAGGATCATTACCCTAGACCAGGGCTTCTTAAACCATGGGCTTGACCCGAAATGGGGTTCTGTAGGAAAATTCTGGGGTCGCAAGGGTTTTCAGTGTCAAATATTTATGACATCACGTCCACACGTCTAGGTTTTTGTATGTTTTACAACAAATATGTATCTGTATATGTATATTGTTGCCAAGTTAATAAATCATCTAAAAATATAATTTTTTTTTTATTTGTGGAGTCGTCAAGAAACTTGCAATCATAAATGGGATCGCAAAGGACAAAAGTTTAAGAAGCTCTGCCTTAATATTAGAAAATAATATATTCATATAATTATTTAATGATTATTTATATAATTTTTATATATATTCATGATCATTACTCTCTTCTTTATATATGAAAATACCAAAACAATATGATTTGCAATTGAAAAAATGCTAATGCTAATGATGTTTTTTTTGCAAATTTATATTTATAGTACTTTATGAAGATTTAAATATATAATCACAAATAAATAATATGTGATTGCTTATTGATTACATATAATAGTTGTGCAAATGTCTATTAAATACTACTATAAAATTGCATACCACTTACACAAGTGTAAAATTATTCACTATACCAAAACCTAGACACGTTCCGGTCAAAAAACTAGCAAATCATTTTATTTATTGAAATGAATGGCCCAATGAACAATTATTTAATCCAGATAGTAATGCAAAATCTTGGTTAAGGTCTTATCATTTAGTGGATGACAACAAAACAAGAAAAATTCAACATAACATCATAATTCAACCTGAAAATAATCCTATTTGAAATATTTTATTAAAACCATTTGTATTTTCATGTTAAATTTGCTAAAAATATTTATGCAGTGCTGTTAGATATACTATTTTTATTTTATAATTTAACTAATTTTTATTAAACGTTCTATTATTGTAATAAACATATATATATTGGGTTTTGTGATGATTTTATTTTCCTTTTGTGGAGTAAATATGAAAACTAATTTTTGGGCCAGTCTTTTAATTTTAATGTTCTGGTAAAAAAATATTAGCGCGAGTCCACTGCCTATACAATATGAGAATACAATAAATTTATAATTACAAATTATATTTTATACTTATAAATAATAAAACCATTATACTTACATATGAGCAAATAAAATGATATTATCTTCTCACAAATAGCATTTAGCTTTATAAATGCACTTAGCATGCTAAGTTATGTATATTAAATGTTTAATTGAATGCAATCCAAGCTTTATTGCATCAAAAATATTTCTACCACTTGCACATGTTACTGCTTATGTTCCACAAGAATCCCTGAAATAAATCTTTTCTTAAAAAAAAAAAATAATTTGTTTATAAACAATTTATTATGTTCAGTTTGTCACATTTTGCAGTATGGAAAATATTTGACTAGACATGTTTCATGTTCTTGCTCTTTTTAATTTGTTTTAATTAGACATTAAGTTAATTACTGTATTCCATTTTCCATATCTTCTAGTATTTGTAAAATGCAATTTTTGCAGACAAATTATTCTGTATAGTAACCATCCAAGGCTTCCATTCACTTTCAAATCTCAGGCAGAAAAATAGAAAAAATCTCTCTGCTAAATGTATTATCATTTTTGTCCTGTTATGATACATATTTCAAGTTTTCAAAATAATTCACTTATTTGAAATGAAATAAAATAGATCAATTAACGTTTGTATTTCTGTGTGCACGTACATGCAAATTAAGCGCAGCTCTTTGTCTAAAACATTGCTCACAAAATGGGCACTTAAATGGTTTTTCTCTAGTATGTACTCTTACGTGTGTATTCAGATTGTATTTAGTTTGGAATGCTTTTGAACAAAACTGGCATTTCCAAGGCCTCATTCCCGCATGAACATTCATGTGCTTATCTAAGTAACGTTTTGCAATAAACCGTTTATCACATAATGTACATTGCAGAGGCTTAACATCTAGATGTGTTTTAAGATGTATGTTTAAATGATTTGAGCGACTGAAGGCAGCTCCACATTTCTCACATTTGTATTTCTTTAGTTTAGGTTTTTCAGCATCTCTATGAGCTTTCATATGGGAATGTATGCGTTTCACTAATGCACCGCAAAGATAACACATACTTATTGGGGAATTATGTTTATTAATATTATTTGCTGATTCTTGATTTTCTTTGAATTGGGGTACTTTGGAAATATCTTTTTGACTACTTGTTTTGATGGATTCTTGTTCATTTTCTATTTGGGGTACCATTTTGGAAAAAGAAATAGACTCATCTTTACTTTTTTCTTTATCAGATGTTATTGGCACTTCTTGAATAACTTGATTTGGTTGCCTTGGTTTTTCATCAAGGTTTTGTTCTAATATCAATTTTTGACGAAATTGACAATTTACATATTCACACTGTTGTTGAAAAGCGTAGTACATTAAAAGTTTGTAATGACATTCTTGACAAATCTTAAAGGGTAATCTATCATTTTCATCAATTTCAATATTTATACATTTTTGTATCATTACTCCTAACGTTACACTATTTTCAACATATTGTTTACTAAATATTTCCAATGCTTTCTCGTAATGAGGTTGAGAACACAATCGGCACAAATCATCAAACATTTTCACACAATTTAATTTCCATGTACTATATATTATACTAAATAATCAAAGATATATTCTGGACATTTTTCAATGACACAAAACTTTTAAATGAATGTTAAAAAAAATGTAAACCTCATATTAATTGACAATACGAAATAGTAGTTCCATCTATTGGTAAAACAACTCAATAATAAGTTTGTAATAGATTAATAACCTTCTATTCTAGATTAGAAACATTAAAATGTCTATAAAACTAGGGTAGTGCATGACATCGTGCCTTAAGGCAAATTGCTTGAACTTCCCGTGCCGTAATCAAAAATCTTGGTACGGAACCCAAAAAAATTTACACAAAACGTGTGCACATTATTAAAATCTCTATAAAATTTTTGATAATTTGATGTACATACGTCCAGTAAACTTTTTTGACCGCCAAATTACGTTCTTTTAACTTATTTTTATTGAGGGTGCATAACCGCTGGAATGCCTGCCCAAAAATTTAATCAGTTCTTCATCTTGTCAATAAAAGTAAAATGTTTTTATTATAAATTATTATAAAAGATTAATAAAAATCGAACGCTTCGTTCTCTTAAAAACTGAGTTACCGTTTTTGGCACTTTTTGTCCCGTATCTTTGGAACGGCCAAACCTGCCTTCGCCAAAAAATAATCAGCACGTCTCCTTATTAATACGAATCGAATGTTTTTTGAATGATTCAAATCGATTGATCGGTGTTCCCGAAATCGTCGACGAAAATTGTATCCGCACACACACACACATAGATCCATTTTTTCTAAGGTATGCCAAAATATTCAGAAACCTTTGAAACGTAAATATATTTTCGATTTTTTTGCTATTATTATAACTTACCCTACACGAAGTTAAATATTACATATTTTTAAGAAAAACAATGTATTATAGCATCAAAAGTTTGAAAAAATGTACAAAAAACATTGACATATCCGAATGCAATTTTATAACTAAAAATCAATTTTTTTTTGCATAATTTATTTTTGTTATAAATAAGGACTTTAACGTCTTTTCATTCATCATGGAAAGTAACGGGTTACGGAAAGAGTTACTACATCAACAAGAGAAACATATAGCCAATGAGATTTTATACATTTTTAACTCACCTGCAAAATAAACTTTTCCCTTAAGTTCTGAAACAATTCTGAATAAATTTTTAACTTGCCTAACATAAATAGACAAGAGTACTGCCCAAATTTTAAATTAATATATTAATAGAGTAGGTATGTATATAAGAAGACTCTATGCAACCCCATTCTACTAATTAAAATTGACTTTTCCATACTACAATTTAAGTGTGAAAGAATTATGAGATTTAGAAGAGAAATTGAATATAAACTGAAATAGTTTCCACATACTCGTTCAATAAAATTTGTTATTTACATACATTTTGCAAATACTCGTATTATGAAAACAGCATAGATATAAATAGTAGAGTTTCTTCGGAATGATCGCTCTGTAAAAAAGTAACTTATCACAAATGAGTTATAAAACAAGAGAAAAATTAGAGCAACTGAAAATTTCCAATTACTCTAAATATTTTATTTACTTACTTTAATACAATACCATTATTATATTAATATAATGATGATACTGTATTAAATACAACATTGCTGTTAAAACTTTTGAAGTAGACTTTCATTCAAATATTGTAATCCAACTACACAGCTTCTAATGACAGAAGGTCCATTCTGCTTATAACAGCAGTTCGACAAAATGAAAACAAGATAAATACGACAACAACCAGACCACACATAAAAAGTGAAACTGCCTGTACGAGGGTCATTCAACAAGTGCTTAGCCTCACCATTTTCAGTCCTCGAGAAAACATGTTGAAAAAGTTGGAGCATTGCTGGACCAAATGTATTAAGCTTGAAGGAGATTATGTTGAAAATTAAAATGCCACTTCTCTGTGGCTGCCTCATTCTCATTTGTAGGCTAGGAACTTGTCGAATGACTCACGTATTAGACACCTGAAAAAGCAATATAAAACAAAATTTTAGAAACATTTACTTTATTATGTTTCCTTTATTACAAGTATATGTTCAGGCTATAGAGCTTGCATTAGATGCGATCCTGGGCCACAAATCTGCGCATTCCTTTGCTACTGGACCTGTGATAGCGGAGCCTTTCATTTCACCTTTGTTGTTTACTATGACCCCAGCATTATCTTCGAAATATATGAAGACACCATCACGCCTTCTGAATGGTTTTCGCTGGCGAATGACTACTGCTGGCATAACCTTCTTTCTAAGTTCTGGTTTACCTTTCTTTACAGTAGCAACAATCATGTCACCAGATCCTGCTGCAGGTAATCTGTTCAAACGTCCTCCAATTCCATGGACAGCAATTACGTACAAGTTCTTGGCTCCAGTGTTATCGGCACAATTAATAACAGCTCCGACAGGCAGACCCAAGGAGATGCGGAATTTAGCTCCGGCTGAACCACCACGTCCTCTTTTAGACATTTTTAATATTTATATGTGCAAGCACAAACTTATTTTAATGTGTACAGAATCTAATCAATTCTGTAAGAGGATACTATCATTAAATATTGACAACACGTTCTACTTCGGTGAAACACGTTTTCGAAAGGATGATCTCAAGCGGCCATGTTGTATTGCAAGATTTAGTAGTGTTGCCGCATATAGAATTATGTTGGTCACGGCGACTTACATGAAGTTAGGCAAGCGAGGGAATATTTAAAATGAATTTGTGTTTTGCTCTGCTACTTTGTCACCTTAATATATTATAGGTAAATAATATAATAAAATTTAAACATATATAACTTAATATATACATAACTACACATATATATATAGCACAATAATATACAAATATTATTATCAAGAATGACAAATTATCACATATACATATAACCACTTTTAACAAAAAAAAAAAAAAAAAAAAAACAGACAATATACTCTATAGTCCTAACTTTAATAATCGAGTATTGTTAAAGTATTAGATCTTATTATAATAAAACTTAATTCATATATATATATATATATATATATATATATAAATTATATTTTATCATATCGAAAACTAATTGTGCTATCTTATTACCTTTATAGTCAAACAATTTTACAAGTAAGCTAGTAGCATGTTGCATTCCTATTTTGTACGACCAAAGTGTGTGACCCATGATAAAAATTGGTAACTAAAAATAATTATCAAGAAATAGTACACCCTGAGCTACAATTTGTAATTTTAACAAACGCAATAGTACATTTATGTTTAATAGAAAGATATAGAAATTTCAAATGAAAAAAATATTATTTATATTTAATAGTATTATGAATTACCAACGGAAGTTTTTTATTATGAAACTGAGTTACAAACTGCTTGTTTATATTTTTTCTCGAAACTTTTTATTATGCAACTATGAAGTGTTTTAACATTTTACAGTCTGATTAAATGAGACAAGTTTTCATGAATCTTACTAAGTGCGTTGCACTTAGGTACATCTTTTAATGGAGGACCTCTCAAAAACTAATTTTTATAATTAATTGATAATTTTGAAATTAAAATTCAAAATAAGTTTCGATTCTTAAAAACTCGGGGCAAAAAAGAAGTGTATTTTATGGTAACGGTTCCAGAGTTTAAATAAACATATTTAATAAAAATTAATTACAATAACCCAAAAATGGTCACAATTTTATCAAAGCTCTAGCTTGCATTTAAAAACTCATAATTGCGCTCAAACAACGTGAAATAAATTGTTTCTCAGGACTGTTAATACTATCACTTACCCCTTTTCAGCTTGACGTTGAGTTCTGGGACACCGAGTATTCGGCTTGACGTTGAGTTCTGGGACATCGAGTTCAAGAACGTAATTTATTGTTTATTGGAAAATATGTTAAGATTTCTAATTTTCCTTTTACTTATCAAAGAAATAGCTAAAATTAAAACAAATTATTGTATTTATTGATGAACAAATGGAGAGATCTTCATTATTTTTTGTTTTATAATCATTCTAACAAACATTTGAATAATAGATTTAAATACCATTCGTCAGTATACAGTATGGTATGATTTAAAAATTTAATAAAAATGTATTTATTATTTATACGAGGTAGTTAGCGGTGCCGCACCACTTCTCAATAAATTTAATCACTTGCGGCACCTTACTATTAGGAGCCATTTTCGAGGCAACTGTTATCTTGCTCCAAGCATCACGATTGGCAAGTTTAGATGATCTTTGAAAAGTGACCGGCTGTTTTCCACCAACTGGATAACCACATACAATACAAGGAGAATCGCCTAGCGTTAAGGTTGACTCATACAGCCCTCTTGAATCCAAAGGCAGCACCTAAATTACAATAATATTAAAACAATCTATTGAATATAAACTAAATTGACTACTATGATTTTGCAATTTTTACCTGATCAACTTTTTGATCCATGCTTACAGCCAATATCCATTCTCTAACCTCATCGTGAAGAGCTACATCTTTGGCTAAATGCAATTGCGTTGGAAGAGGTATCGAACTTGGCCAATCGGTCGACGATAAATCCGAATGGTCAACTAATAAGCCTAATATATAAAAAATAATGAGGCAATGCATAATATGGTAAATGCACAAATAACATTATATTCAAAGGTAAACTTAATTTATTTTATTATATATTATTTAAGCTTATGAGACATGCACTAGACTTTTAATTTGTATATTATCTAATCATGAATAAATTTTAGAATATGCTTTATTTGAATTATTTGAGTTGAAGTTACCTTCGCCTTCTTCAATTGATTCACACAAATCTAAGTAATGGTTTAATAAAACAAATGCTTCGGATTCTCTTCCGATTGCTCTTAAGTCCATACCAGCTTCATAGTATCCTAAAAATTTAAATATGCATATTATTGAAAATTTTTACTTTAATTAATAATTAATTAATTACCTAATGTGATATATCACCGTATAATTAATGCAAATCATATTAGAGAGGATATGAAAGCCATATCTCTATTGATATCTTAGTTAGTCTAAAGTAAATTATTAAATCCCTCTAAAGTAAATTATTAAACATGTTGGAAGAGATTAGCAAGAAATTGCATTGATATTTGGAAATGTTGTTTGTGCAATCCTAGTTAACTCAATAATCACCTTTATCAGCAGGTATGATGTCAGTATGTCGAAGAAGAGCAAGTGATAATTTTGTTCCTATTAGAGACAAGGCTGGTACAGATCGGCAAGCGTGGCGAACTGCATAGTAATGAGCTATCAGTAGAAATCGTTCAAACTTAGAAAACGCCTCTCCTTGTGTTTCACCTGATAGACGCATTTTATCTGTCTGCAAATATAAATTATCATATAAACTAAACTATATACTATTTTGAGCTAGGTTCCAAAGGGGGAAAGATTAAGTATAATTGTTCGAACAAGTTTTATTATTGCTTTTAGTCAGCGCCTTACATTAACATGATCTATAAACCGCATTGCTTTGAAAGAGTCAAAAGTAAGTTTTCATGTTCGAATTCTTTTAATAATACCTGTTAATTGTATACAGATAGATTACTTTGTTTGTTATTTTGCTGTAAGTTGGCATTAGTAGTTATTTACTAGCAATTAGTTTTTGCTTAGATCATTTAGCTCAGTCATAATGATAATTTATTTTCAAAAGTGTGCGTTGGGTACGTTTTTGACAAATGATGGGTTACGACGGTTGTGACATGTACTTCTTGTCCTTTTCGGGTAAAGATTAAACATTCAAAAAAATCTAACTTAACTAAGGCAAAATACGAAAAAGAAAGAAAAAGAAACATTCAATACAAAGAAAAGATCGCATCAAGAATTTTTGTTAACTTCGTTTAAAAAAAATATGTTTTGTTATATTTTATTATATTTTATTCACGAGCATTGTTTCAAGATTTATGTTGTGTGGTGTTACATATTATTGTTATTAACAACAAAAAAAATCGATATAAACCATTTGGTGTTTATATCTATTGTTTTGTAACCTATTTCCATGCCTACAACCAAGGGACGGTTGTGACAAACGCCCTCTTTTTGTATGATGCTTTTATGATTAATCTATTGTAATTAAGGACAGTATTTTAGTACTTCCACGTAGACATATATTCAAATTACCATTTAATTCACTTTTTTCTCAGCTGACTGATAAATTAACAACATTATCGCTGATCATAAAAAAGTGACACAACCGTACCCAGTCTCCGCTACTGATTTTTTGGATTAGTTATTTTTAACTTTCCGTAGGGCAAGTTATAGTAATCGCAAAAAAATCTAGAATGAAAATTTTTATATATCTTTACGTTTCAAAGGTCTCTGAATATTTTGGCATACCTTAGAAAAAATGTTAGAAAAAATGAATGTATGTGTGTGTGTGTGTATGTGTGTGTGTGTGCGTGCGCGTGTGTGTGTGCGGATACAAATTTTCGTCGACGATTTTGGGAACACCGATCAACCGATTTAAATAATTCAAAAAACAATCGATTTGTACTGATAAGGAGACGTGCTGATTAGTTTTTGGCGAAGGCAGGTCCAGCGGTTCTGAAGTTACGGGGCTAAAAGTGCCGAAAATGGTAAATCAGTTTTTAAGAGAACGGAGCATCCGATTTTAATAATTCAAAAAACATTTTACTTGTATTGTCAAGATAAATAATTGATCAAATTTTTATGAAGGCAGGTCTAGCGGGTTCGGAAATCTAATGTAAAAAGTAAAAAAAATGTCATTTGACGGTCAAAAATGATCATTAAACATATGCACATCATATTATCAGATATTTTATAGAGATTTTAACAATAAGTATAAATTTTGTTTACATTCCTATGGATTCCGTACCAATGTTTACCTGTTAGACGGCGACGCGGCGCTTACGCGCTTTGACACCTCGTCTCTATGCAGTTAAAGCAGTACGATTGCTTTGAAAAATAAAGTCAAATTAAATCAAAAATCTAATTTTTTTGAAGTAAATTTTTTTCAAAAATGTTGATCGTTTTTAAAAAAAACAATAATTTTTGGTACGGAAAGTTCCAGCAATTTGCCTTAAGGCACGATGCCATGCGCCCCACTAGTTAAGACTTATGTATGTGCATACATTTATTGTAATGTAATAATGTAACGTTAAACGTAAGCAGTAGTAGTATTTGTCAAAAACTTACCAAGTCATACATCATGTTTCTTAGATCTTGCCAAAGTCTGCCAGCGTTTTCTTCACGCATGGAAAACATTTCGGTGGCAATGCGGGCATATACGTTATAATTTTGGGCAAGATCTGGAACCCCATATTCTGTATAGAGAGTAAGAGCTGCTGGAGCACCACTTGGTTCGTCTTCACTCTCATCAGATTGGCGTAGAAGGTGCGCGGCATATAGTGCTACATACTTATGAAGAAGTTCCGGGCTATGATGCCGTGCTTTTTCTATGCAACGCGTCCATTGGCCTTGTTCGCAGAGCAAATCCAAAGCACCTATTATATCTGTGATAAAACAGAACATATTGAGCAATATTGATCCCAAACATTATACAACCACTCATTTTCACAAGTGAGGCTGTTGAGAAGTAATGTAACTTAATTGTAGTATAGTTATTTCAAAATTTGAGTTACCAGATATAGAGAAAATAATTTAAATAGTT